ACAAACAGTTTATTCTTACAGTCGGGAGGCTAGAAGTCTAAGTTTAAAGTACCAGACTCTAGGGGCTATGTGAAAGCCCCTCGACCTTGGGCTTCAGCTCTGCCTCTTGCTCCTGGCCCACTGCAGCTGGAGGCATCTCTTCACTCAGGCAGCTACTGGCTGCTAAGGCTAAGAAGCCCAAGGCTGACAAATAAAATGGCATGGTCCCAATATTACCATACAACATGAGAGGCCATTCATTCAAGTCCATTGAAAATCCCAGGACCGGCAGAGCGTGGCAGACTGCTGAACGACACAGCTACATGCAGGGTTCAAGTGTGCCATAAGCTAGAGACCATTCCCAAAGCTGTTTCTTGTATATGGGAAACAGGCCACGAACCCAAAGCAGCTACTCAGCTGCTCCAATAGATTCCACCGTGGAGTTAGTTACTAATGTCACCATGGGGAATAGCTACATTCAGCTGCCCAGCCACTCAACCAGGCCCAACCAAGTTGACACACAAACTTAACCACCACAAGTCCATATTGCAAGATTCCATTTAGAAGATGTTTCAGAAGGGGCAAGATAAAGCCATGGGGTAGAAGTCAGAGCAGTGTTTGCCTGTGAGGAACGGGCTGGGAGGGGGCATGAGGCCACTTTCAGGATAATGGACTGTTCTTCAGCCTAATTGTGTGTGGTGAAACTGTACTATGAAGAGGTATGCATTTCTTTTTATGTAAATCTTACCTCAATTAGAAAAAAAAAAAAGAATGAAAAGAAACCCACAATGACAATACTGGTTTCTAAGGAAAACCAGAGTACCAGGCTCTGGTGCCCAGTCCCCCAACGAAGTTGTAAGGGGCTCTGAGATGTCCATGTTCTTCCTGGTAGGGCAGGAAAGTCATTGGGGGCAGGAGAGGAAAGAGACCCCTTTCTGGATAAAGACACTGAGGCCCCCGAGAAGGGGCCAAAGGATTCAGCTCTGCATTTTTAGGGCAATTTCTGGTAGGGTGATAAGTGGGTGCCTGAACAAGAGACCCTGATACTCGCAGGTCCAAGTGCAAAGAGCACAGGCAGGCTCAAGAGGCTGACAGTCTTCAGGCAGCTGGTGTCCCCTCTCCTGGGGAATGTCCCTGTTCACTTGCTGATCCCATTTCTGGGGGCTGACACCAATCCTAAACCTCTCAGAGCCACTGTCTGGCTGCAGCGTCCTCTGCCTGGCCACTTTTTCTGACCTGCTAAGTTCAAACACTCATATCCTGCACCCTACCAGTTGGGGCACTTCCTAAGAAGGGACTATGGGCTGAGTAGGGTCTCTCAAGCCTGCCATTCCTCAGCAAGTCTCAGCCTTCTTGAAGCTATTTCTTCATCTGTGAAATGGGCTGATTTCTGCCTCCTCATCAAAAGAGAACCTTGTCATGTGCAAAGTTAGTTCATCCCACTGTATGGGTGAAAAGGCAACGGTGGCCACTGTTAAGGATCCAGCCCACAGAAAAGCTAAAATTATGTGTTTTAAAAACACAATAGAGAGAGAGAGAGAAAAAAAAAAAAAAAGAAAAAAACACATTTTGGACCAAAAAAGTCCTTTTGTGATGGGCTGGCCCACTTGGATTAGTCTTCTGTACAACTCCTGCTGGCTCTCTGGTGATGCCCCCCACACTCACACCGTTGGTCTGAGCTATCTAGTGCCTGAGGTAAGACAAATTCTTAGGAACCCCCCTCTCCTTTGACGGAGGAAGTTTAAATTATCAGGTCAATTAGGAAAGATACAACCGAAAAATCCAAATTTCATTCACACTCCAAGGAGGTGTTTCCTGGCTGGGTGCCACTTTTATTATTTTTGGCCCAGGTAGCTGGAAGCCCTATAGACCCAGTGAAGGTACAATGTGATCTTTGATTCTTGTTTCAAGGATCAAAGCGAGCGAGTTTGGTGTAAATGAAGATAACATTTCAGAGACCGTTTCATGAAAGGAGTCACCAGACCAGGGCAGAAAGGGAGCTGCTGTTCTGTTTGTTTGCCTTGAGAAGCGCCATTTGCCAGTGAATTCTGCTGCCCATGACCCCAGTGGCTTCTGGCCTGCATCCAGGCCCTCAACTCATGGGGCATGAGGCCCTGGACTGGGGGCTGGTCACCTTTTCCCTTGTGAGGGGCTAGCACCCTCTCCCACCTCTTGTCCAGACGCCTTGGAGGCATGGGGATCCTATACTCCCTTTTCCAGAGCCGGATGCTGACTGGGCATGCTGCTCCCGGGTGGCAGGCCTGGGCTAGGCGCAGCCCTATGGGGAGGCCTTGGCAGCCTGCCCTTATTGTCCTCACTGGGTTCAGCCTCTCCAGGTTGAGCACAGCACCAACCCACCCACGATGAGAAAACCTACAGGCTGCTCACCAGCCACCCCTCCACAGCTCTGGGCCCGCCAGCCCCTAGGTATGCAGGAGAGTCCTTGTGGCCAGCTGGGCCCTGCCCTCTACTCCTGGGCTGGAGACATGCAGAACCAGCCTCCTTTGCCTTCAGTCTGGTATGAAGACTCAATAGGTTTCTAGCAGTCGTAATTGGGTGGTGAGAGAGACTGCTGACATCCCATCCAAGATTCACTAAACCAAACAAACCAAACTCACTGCCCTGGAGTAGGCTCCAACTCATAGTGACCCCATGCCTAAGGCATTTGACTGCTAACCATAAGGCTGGACGTTCATACCCACCAGCCACTCCTGGGAAAGAAGGTTGCGCAATCTGCTTACGTAGTGACACCGCCTTGGAGGGTCGCTATGAGTCGGATCCCACTCCAGGGAAGTGGGTTTCCTTTTTGGTATCTCTACGGAGTAGCAGTCAAATGCCTTAGGCACTAGGGCACCAGAGCTCCCTAGATACGCTAATGATCCAAGATACGCTAATGAGAAATACATGCTCAGCAGGTTCCAGCCCCCGTAGACCCTCTATGCCCAAATCCTCCTTGATGGCCTCAGAAGTCCTATGCTTGGCCCAGCGCCTCTCTCCATCCCAACTCCCACAATCTTCAGTGCCCAGATGACTCAAGGGCAGCAATAGCGGGCCGAGATAGCATCGCCCCCTCCATCTCGGCAGTGGATGGGTGGACCACAGCTCTTCCGCCATCGCTTAATTCCGCAGACCCAGTGCGTACCCGCCCCTCTCACTGCCCACCTCTCGAATCAGGGCGAGGGGCGGTCCTGGACCTGGGACTTCTGCGCCTGCGCCCGCGGTCCGGCTGTTCCCATGGCTTCAGGCGCGGTGCCGGCTAGGCGCGCGCTCCCATCACCCTCCACGCCTTGCTGCCGCGCAGGCAGAATCCGGCAGTACTGTGGGACCCACTGCGTACTGCGCAGGCGCCGCTGCGGAAGCACGCGAGCGCGCGACCTGGATGGGAGGCTGGCGTGGGGCGTGCCGGGAGCTAGCGCGGGGACGTAGGGGCGGCCGCGCGCACGCAGGGGGTTTGGCTGCACGAGGTTGTCGGCAAGTGAGCGTTTCGCTGCTCGGAGCTGGTGTTGCGGGCTGCAGTCGGAGGGTCAGTAGGGCGGCGGGGGTGTGGCGGCAGGCGGAGAAGAAAGCCCCATAGTAGACCCAGGATCGCTCCTCTCTACCCCGGTCCGTAGAAGGGTCACTCGGAGCCCTGGGCCTGATCCCTGGTACTCTGCCGACCGGCAGTTCTCAGTTTCTGGGCCCGCGTCGTGGGCTTGGAGAGCGTCTGGAGACATTTTCCGGCCGGTCCCCCTGTTTCGGGAGGTCATGCCTCCGCCCCGCCTCACATTGGCCGATCTTGTTCTCCATTTTCTAGGTGGCGGGTGGACTTGCCTTCGGAGGGAGGCCCGTGCTCACGGTCTCGGGCTGCAGTCCCGTGGCCCCTCGTCGCGGTGCCTTGGGTGGCTGCAGGTAGGTGGGCAGCTTGGTGCGGTGAGGCTTGTGAGCGCGTATCCCCGAGGTTTCCTGCATGGCGGTTGCCTGAGCTGCAGCGGTGTGCCCTCAACTTCCTGCGCGGCTTTGGGGAAGCCCTTTCACTCCCGGGACTCCTGGGTCTTCTCCGAGCGGAGAACGCGCCGGTATCCCAGGCACTGTCTTGTCTTTGCGGAGACAAACACGCCTGCGCCGCGGTTCCTTTAGTAGAGCGCTGTCTAATCCAGGAGAAGGGCAGAAAATCCCAGTGCCAGGCAGGGTGGCGAGAGCAGCGGGAGAGACCAGCAGTCTGCCCGGCGAGGGAAGCTGCAGGGCCTGCATTAGGAAGGCCTAGGCGGAGTCGGGGCTGGCTGGTGCAGGGAAGCCTTCTTTCCGAGGCTGCAGGGGGCACACAAGCCTGATGGTGGGTGGACAGGCTGACAGCTGCGGTGCGAACGGAGGGAGGTCGGGACTGGGAGGAAGGGAGGGCGGAGACCTGGGTAGACCGCCTGACCTCCAGGTGAGGCTTGGATTTGGGGTCACTGCTTTTAGGGCTGGCTAAGGGACGAGATTCCAGTACATCTACTCACTTGCTGCTCTGCGGGGGGGGGGGGGGGGGGGGCTGCAGGCCCTGGTATATTCTTTTCTTGCGGTGGGGTGGGAAGTTAGGGTCATGGGAGTGGGGATTTGTGGTGTAAGACCCCCAGAGTGGGGCATGCACCTGAGAGTCAGGGGATTGGGTGGCGGGAGTGCTTCCAGTTCTGCAGGTCCCTCTGTGAGGTGCTGGGTGGGAAGACCCAGGGAACTGCCTCTCTGGGGAACTCCCTCTGATGGGAGTAGATGGGCGCACAGGAAACTGCATGGAGGCGTGTGCAGGCCATGCTGCTCCTGGGTGCCAGCCGGAGGACCACTGGGCCATGTGTGCACACACTGTGGGAACAATCGCACACGCAGGGGTGAAGCAGAGCGTTCTGTGGAGGTCACGAGTGCACTGGCTTGGCAGCAAGGTTGGGGGGCTGGCTACAGCCAGGCTGGGCAGTGTAAGAGCCCGGGAGGAGGGCTCACTGGAAGAGCACTGTAGTCCCCTTGCCCAGTCTGGGTTTCTTGGGGCTGCTCAGGTTGGTGACTAGCACATGGAGAAGGAAAGGTAGGTCTGGTGCCTCGAGGAGGGCTCTCCAAGGCCTTTTGCGTGAGTGACACTGGAGGGGTGAGAGAAAGTGCAGCTGGTGTGATCCCGGGTTTGTGCACAGGGGATGGGGTTTGGGGACTGGATGCGGGTCTGTTTACTGGGCTGGGGAGGGGAGGAAGATGATGCTGGGGGGGGAGTGGCAGTGGCATTGCCTGCAGGTGGACTGCAGTGAGCAGAGGGGAGTCGGCAGAGCATTGGAGGAGGGGTGATGGGGAGAAGGGCCGCAGGAACTGTGGACTCCCTTCTGTCTCGGAAACAGTTAACTCTTGCTGTGTGGCTAGTGCTTGGAAAGAGGAGCTGAGAGGTAAAAGAATCTTACATGGTCTGTGTACTTAACGAGGTTGCGGTGTCTGGGGAGCCTGGGAGTCCACTTCTCAGGCGACTGTGAAGCGTGGTTTATAACTTTGCATGACGTGTAGTGACTAAGCATGTGGTTTCCGGATCAGCTGCTCTGCTACCTCCTGGCTGTGGCCGCAGATGAGTTACTTCGCCACCCCGTTTCTGAGTGTGTACAGTGGGGCTCACAGCACCAGCCTCATCAGAGTGGCATCGGTGTTGGGCACAAGTTGAATCCTCAGTGTACCGTTGCTTTTACCCATCTCCTTAAGGAGACTTGGCAGTGTAACTGTTAAATGCTTGGCTGGTAACCAAAACGCACTAGTGGCTCTGCGAGGGAAAAGACCTGGGGGTCTGCTGTCATAGAGGCCGTAGGCTAGGAAACCCTGTGGGTAGTTCTCCGTGATGAGGTCACTGCGAGTTGGAATAGGAACTTGGATGGTGCAGTGGTTAAAGTGTCTGGCTCATAACCAAAAGGTTGGTGGTTCAAACCCGCCAGCTGCTCCACGACAGAAAGGTGAGGCAGTCTACTTCCATAAACGTTTACAGCCTTGGAAACCCCATGGGTCAGTTCTGCTCCACCCTGTAGGGTCACTGTGAGTTGGAATTGACTCGATGGCAGTGACTTGGAGTGGGTTGGGTTGGGATAGACTTGAGACTCCGTGACAGCCCAGCCTGGAGATTTCAAGGGAGCGCAGGGGCACCAGTCCTGCCCTTTCCTTCTCCTGGGATTGACAGCCTCTGCTATCCCCGCGCCCTTACACCATCACAGGCAGTGTTTGCCTGCCTTTCCCACCCTCCCAGGGCAGGCCCACTCAGTTCTTTCCTGCTAGGGGCTTGCCTGCTTGTCGCCTCCTCCTGCCGGCCCTGAGGGGATGACTGGGCCTTGTTCCCGTTCTTCCCCGCCTTGTTTTTGGACAGATTGCCTTGGATGATGGCCTGCATCTGACAGTCCCATCAGCTCTGCTCAGCTCTCCCGAGGCCGCAGCTGTCAGCACCCTGGTCCTCATCACTTGCCTGGAGCAGCCGGGGCCAGCCGCACCCCTGTTCAGCCAGTCTTTATCCCGTCCCATCCTGTGTCGCGGCTTCTGTCCCTGCCCTCCCCTTGTGTGCCGCAGTCTCTCTCTCCCTTCTCCCCCTCCTTACAGTGGATGTGGCAGCTCAGCCAGCTCCCAGCATGCCTTGTGGCCAGCACTGTCAACAGGGCCTTTGGAGTCCCGCTCAGGTAGCAGCCAGTTATGCCAACACACGCCCTTGGCAGCTAGTGGACTGAGCCCTCTACTGGGGTCACATGGATCTCTGGATTTAGCAGCCCTGCCATAGGGAGCCTGTGTGTGCGCGCGCGTGTGCACATGCACGCGCACACGGCTGTGGAACACGGCAAGCAGCGCCCCCACTGGTGAACTGGCAGAGAGGGGCCTGCAGCTGCACACGTGCCCATCCTCTTACCCCTCCAGGGTGGACTTCTTACTGGATGCCAGGCTCTGAGCTGGGCACCTTTAATAGCTACCTGTGGCTGCTGGATCACCTGGCCCAGCTGGGCAATTACACATCTTTCCACTTCAGACGCTACCAGGATAACATATCCTCAGCTGCACCTGAGAGATGGGCACCTGAGAAGCTGGGCGTGGGCCGCCCCCACCTCCCAGGAGATCTGCCATTGTCTGACGATGACGAGTTCTTCTGCCAGTATCTTGAGGACATTATGCTAGACCCACACACGTCTTGCTGAGTATCATGCTGTAGTGCCCTGGCCCCTGCCCCTACCCCTACCCCTACCCCAGCTGTGCGCCAGCCACTAGTGGCCCCACGGCTGTTTGTGGTAAGGCAGTACTTAGCTCAGTTCTTGGAAGCCCAAGCTCTCAACATGGGTGCTCCTCCTGGGCCTGTCTCGGCTGCTCTGGCCACCCCCACTGCGTCTAGTTGTAACTCAACATCAGAAATGTTCCATGTGCGCAGCACCTGGCCAAGGAAAGCAGCCCTAGGCCCAAGGAGTGCCCGGCCTTGTCCAATTCTGCAGGTGGCACTGATCCTCTTCCTGGGGGGCCCACCTCCCAGCTAGAGGAGGTGCCCCCCGGCCTGCAGAATCCAGAGCCCAGATCTAGCTTGTCCAGGGGGTCCAGCGCCCTAGAAGGCAGAAGAGGGTTCTGAAAACGGGAAACCAGGAGGCCCCCTGAGGTCCCCTGCAGCAGTTAGTGGATGTTCTGGGGCCCCCGGGAGAGCCATCTTTAGCTCCTGCTCCCAGGCTGGCAGCCCTGGCCACTGAACACGGCCCAGGCAGCCGCAGTCTCACGAGCAAGTGGCCTGCTTAGCCAGAAGCCCCGTGGCCCTCAGTCGGGACAGAGCGACATCACCATGTAACTCCAGATATCTCAGAGGAGCCCTGGCAGTGCTGGCCCTGGGTGAGGAGTCACAGTTGTTTGGGGCTCTGCCCTGTCTGAGCATAAACATCCCTCGATTCTCCCAGCATCAGAGTGTTGACTTGTGCCCTGTCCTTCACTTCACCCAGCAGCCCAAGGGACTGCCTCCATTAGATTCTTAGACACACACCTCACCCAGGCTCTTCCCTCTAGTCAGAGGCGTTCTTCAGATCAGTCCCCATCAGGTGTTTGGACCATCCCCAGCCCTGCAAACTGGACCCCTCTTGGTGTTTATCAGCATTGTGGGCACAGGCCTGGGGCTGCCCTGCCTGCCTTGTTTAGATCTACCCTCCTGTTTCTGCTCCCTTTGATCGCTGTCCACTCAGCTGGAATTTAAGGAAGACTGAAGGAAACACCACTTTGATCCTTTGATATGAGTGGGATGGTACCTTGGCCAAGAAAGATGAGTCGCTGGGCATTATCAGCAGTGCAGGCCAGTCGGGAGACGTGGATGCAGGGCGGTGGGATGCAGACCCCCTTGCCAGGCTCACTCCACGCAGCTTCCCCTTCTGTGTACTTCGCAGTTGAGCCACAGCTGGCTTTCTTGCAGAGTTGGTTTGGTTTTTCACATATTGGTGCCTTTGCACGTGATGCCATGCTGCCTCCCCACTCTCTACTATTCAGTGGTCCCTGTCTTCCACTCCTCGGAAGGAAGGTTGGGCAATCTACTTCCACAGTGGTACTACCTCGGAAACCCAAGGAGGGGTCGCTATGAGTCAGATCCAACTCTACAGCAGTGAGTTTAGTTTTTGAGTTTTTTGTCTTCACCTGTAGACCCTTGAACATTGCTGATTCAGCACTTAAAGCCCTAATAACAAATACTTGTATCTGCCTGGTAGACTGTGAGCCTCTAAGGCAGGACTCTGTCTTTGTGCTGTTGGTACGCAGTTGGCGCTCATTAAATGTGTGTTGAGTAGGCAGTGGAGTCTGGTGTGGTTGTCCATCAGTGGGGGCGTTGTGCCGTTCGGTCAGGAGCAGACGCCCCAGCCGCAAGCTTCCCGTCAGGATTGTTTCCAGTGGGGACTTGGAGGACTGAGAAGTCTGCTTGAAGGAGTTAGGCCTAAATAGGTGGGAGAGGGAAACTTGGCAGGTAGAGGGTGGCCTTTCAAGCTGATTTGTGAGAGCTGGAGGGAAGGCGAGGAGCAGGCAGCAGACTTGTGCTGTGAGGCCCAGAGCCCAGAGGATTGGAATGAAGACAGACCTGTTCTGTACAAGATGGGTTTCTAGTAATGAGAGCTGAGCATGGAGGCTCCCTCAGGCCAAGTTTAACACAGGATGGGGTTGCATCCGGCCCCATATGCAAGGTGCCTACCCCAAGAGGCAACGGGGCAAGAATTTCAAACTTTGAATTTTGGAATTGGGAAAACTACGAGAAAACCTTGAAGAACCTTGAGAAAACCTTAGGAAGAAACACTGAGGGAAACTTGAACTGGAAATAAAGCGAATTATTTTGGGGAAAATGTTAAGCAAACACCTGTTAATTAAGAAAAGTTGTTGGGAACTCAAAAAGGCTCTGGGTTCAGATGGTTTTATGTATGAGTTAGTTCAGGACATAGATGTCTGGCAAGTAGAACTTGCACATCTTGGAAGTAGGTGGGAAGCTGTTTTTAGGAAGCCAAATAACAGCAAAACAACCAACCTGCAGAAGAAAACAGTGCACAGTCTTGGTTTTGACCCAGTGCGGGAAATCCTGACGTCCTGGCCTGGCCCCAGTGCTTTTGGCCTGGGTTGCTCTGCGGCACCTTGAGAGCAGGGTGCGGCCCCCTCTGTCGCTCAGGTCGGGTCCTTTCTTTGGCAGGCCTGAGACAGACTGCTTCCTCCTTGCCCTGGCTGTGGGTCTCATATTAGTGACCAAGGCCTTTGGTTGGAGCTGTTAATACAGCTCTGGCAATAGAGCTTGGGTTGCTCTGTTTAGTGGATGACTCTTCATCTCCTAGTCGGCCCCCCACTACCTTGCCTAGGCTACCTTCCTGTCTCTATTTAGTAGACCTCAAAGATAGAGGAGAAGTTGGGAAGGCTCTGGCTTGGCCTTCTACACAGGAAGTGCATACAGTGGTACAGAATGTTGGCATATCTCTGGCCTGCTGTTGCCTTCTGGCAGACGTGGTGACCTAGCTGCTTTCTCATTCCTCGAGGGAGAAGAAACAAAGGGCAAGAGAGGAGGCTGTTCTCCTTGTAAGTTGGGGAAGGGTCCTTTGGACCATGTGATGGTTAAGGTTGTATGTCAACTTGGCCGTGCCTTGATTCTCAGTGGTTTGGTAGTTATGATGTAGTTATCCTCCATGATGAGATCTGATATAATCACTTCCACGGTAAGATCTGTGGTAAGCAGCCAGTCAGTTGAGAGGAAGTTTCCTCAGGGCTGTGGCCTGCAGCTTGTGTAGGGATGTTCTAGCAAAGCTCTGCTTTTTCCTTGATCTGAATTCTGCATTTGGCTCATCATCATCTGACTTCTGGTTCTTTGGACTTGAGTCAGTGGTCTGCCATATTGCCTTCTAATCTTATGATTCATTAGCCTCCATAATCTGTGAGCCAACAGCCTGACATCTGGCTTGCTAATCTTGAGTTTGTCAGCCCCTGCAGCTGCCTGAGTCAGGAGAAGCCTCCAGCCTGACGTCTGACCCACAGACTTGGGACTTACCAAGCTCTACAACTATGTGAGCCATTTCCTTGTGATAGATCTCTCTATATACATAACCTAAGCTCTGATAGCATAGTGCCTAAGGCACTTGACTGCTAACCAGAAGGCTGGCGGTTCAAACCCACCAGCCACTCCTCGGAAGAAAGATTGGGTAAACTACTTCCGTATAGTGGTGATGTTGTTGTTGTTGTTTGCTGTCGAGTCGGCCCCGACTCATAGCGACCCCTCCTTGGGTTTCCGAGGCAGTATCACTATGGAAGTAGGATTGCCCAACCTTCCTTCCGAGGATAGTGATACTGCCTTGGAAACTCAAGGAGGGGTTGCTATGAGTCGGGTGCGACTCGACGGCACATAGCAACAACAAGCTTCACTGCTTTTACTTCTCTAGAGAAACCAGCCTAAGAGACCATTTGCCGCTCGAATAGCACAGGTCGCAGGCAGAGGCCCCAGAGGCTGGGTGCCCTGGGCGTGCAGGGGGGCAGCACAGTCTGCAGGGCTTGTAGACATGTTCAGGGGCGGGCTGAGGGGTGCGAGGCTCATCATGTCTGCCCCTCATCAGCCCTGGAAATGCCCAGAGAGTTTCACTTCTTGGGGTAGGACATGGGGTGCACCGTGGGAATGTTTTCAAAGTACTTTTCTCCAAGGAAAATCCTATAAATGGAAGTACGGAGGAGAAAGGCATATGAAATATCAAAACGTTATAAAACTGCAATAGGGTAATTGGACATTGGTGTGGACAGATGAACAGAGGAGAATAGACTTTGAAATAGAGTTAAATAAAGATGGGAATTGAGTGCATGCTGAAGGTATTGTTTCAAATTAATGGAGTAAAATTCAACAAAAGGAGCTGGGACTGGCCAGCCATCTGGAGAACAGTAAAACTGGACACAGACCTCACTCCATGTCAGCATGTATTCCAGATGGATTGAAGATTTCAGCGTTAAAAAGCTCATAAAAGTACTGCAGGAAATAAAGGTGCATTTGTTTTTACCTAATGATTGATGCTTTGTCCTGTCTTCTTCCTACTCACGGCAAAACCCGTGTGTTACTGAGTAGAATCCCTTCACAGGGTTTTCCTGGCTGTAGTCTTTAGGGAAATAGCACCAGGCCTTTTCCATGGTGGACTGGGTGGGTTTGAACTGCCAACTTTTTGGTTACCAGTTGAACACAAACTGTTTGTGCCACCCATCTGCTCTTTAAACGTTTTGGATCCCCAGCATTGCTGAAGGTTTGTGGTAACGGCTTTGTCGACCTATTGGTGCATGTATAAAATACTGCATTTTTGACTGCATGGAAGTTGGAAAAGTGTGTATTTTGATCACTGCCTGAGTACACAAGGGCTCATGTCCGGGAATCTTTGCTGCCACATGCCCACAGTGTCGGGGCTAGGAGCCTGGACTGAACTCAAGTCACATCTCATTTCACCTCTTCTGCTGACGAGCTGAGGGTCCTTGGTGTTATGGAGGTCCTTTCCTAGCTCTGTTAAAATAGTTTCACAGGGTGATTGGGAAAGTCGAATGAGGTAATGCCCGTTCAGTGCTTGGCACAGGCAGACTTTGGTAACTGCTCAGTGGGTGTTCCCACATGAGTAACGGCAAAGTTGTGGACACAGCCCAGGCAGAGCCCATCAGCAGCAGGAAAAGTCAACAGAGATGCTGTTCTTTTGTACCAGTCAGGATACGGCAGGCTGTGCTGGGGGCACAAAGCCCCAGCACCTCAGGCACCGGTGACAACACTTTCTGCTTATATGCAGTCCCTCAGGGACCCAAGGGGACAGAGCTCCATTGGAGGGGACCTCCTCCTCCACCATCACAGAGGCAGGGAAAGAACACAGCCACAGGTGGTCATGTCCCGACCTATGTCACCATGGCCAAAGGGGGAGCCACTGTGCCACACTGAGTCTTGCAGGATGGGCGTGGCTGGTCCTCCTGGGCCGGGGGACACTCAGTATTTGAAAAGAGGGAGCATCCCTTATACATGGAGCTGAGTGTTGGCAGCATCAGGGAGGCAGGGCCTGGCTGCCTGGGTACCTGTAGGAGGATGCCCAAGGTAGGGGTCCTTGTTTTTCCCTTCTGCACCTCTGGGCAGTACTGTCATGAGCAGCCTCTACATATGT